CCGCTCTACTCTGCGCTGGTTAGGCCTCAGCTGGAGTATTGTATCCAGTTCTGGGCACCGCATTTCAAGAAAGATGTGGAGAAATTGGAGAGGGTCCAGAGAAGAGCAACAAGAATGATTAAAGGTCTTGAGAACATGACCTATGAAGGAAGTCTGAAATAATTGGGTTTGTTTAGTTTGGAAAAGAGAAGACTGAGAGGGGACATGATAGCAGTTTTCAGGTATCTAAAAGGGTGTCATAAGGAGGAGGGAGAAAACTTGTTCACCTTAGCCTCTAAGGATAGAACAAGAAGCAATGGGCTTAAACTGCAGCAAGGGAAGTCTAGGTTGGACATTAGGAAAAAGTTCCTAACTGTCAGGATGGTTAAACACTGGAATAAATTGCCTAGGGAGGTTGTGGAATCTCCATCTCTGGAGATATTTAAGAGTAGGTTAGATAAATGTCTATCAGGGATGGTCTAGACAGTATTTGGTCCTGCCATGCGGGCAGGGGACTGGATTCTATGACCTCTCGAGGTCCCTTCCAGTCCTAGAATCTATGAATCTAAGTTCTTTTGGGCTTAGAATCATAGAATATCAGGGTTGGAAGGGACCTCAGGAGGTCATCTAGTCCAACCCCCTGCTCAAAAAGCAGGACCAATCCCCAGGCAGATTTTTGCCCCAGATCCCTAAATGGCCCCCTAAAGGATTGAGCTCACAACCTTGGGCTTAGCAGGCCAATGCTCAAACCACTGAGCTATCCCTCCCCCTAAACTTGGACTGTCCCTTTATTAAGTTTTTATGCTACCTAGCACAACAGGGCGCAGGCCTCTAAGTGCTATTGCAATACAAATAATTATAATAAAGAACTATTTATAATAGTTTCTGGAGGTGTATCTCCCCACATGCAATTAATATTATTAAGAGATATTGTAAGAGTGGGGGTAAGTAAACAGCACCTAAGAAAAAAAACAACCAATAGAAATTTAGCATACTTTGGATAAACCACCCACAGATTTGTTGCTGCTGCTTGATGCTTTGGATTATGGAGCTGGAGAAGGAAAGTACAGTTTTTCCAGTTATAGTATGCCCTGTAGAGATTACGTAGGAGAATAGGCACATAAGTCTTTGTGGTCTCAGTCACACACACACTTTGAATTAGTACACGCCCTAAGGCAGACGTTTTAAACTACAGACCTAATCCTGCAAATTCTTACTGACATGAACCCTTTCTTTCACATCAAGGGATTCCTCATATTACTAAGTGCAATGTGAATAAAGGTTTGTAAGATCAAGGCCTATGCTAATAAATTTGAGTTTTCTATGTGAAGAAGGAATAAAAATGCTGGGCCATGCATACTTCAGTTAACCATATTATATTTTTTCCTCATGAATTAGTACTGCACGAATAAAATACTGATTGTTCTAGTAGATGCAGCCGTGTGTTCCACATAGGTGTGTGCGTGCATGGTGCACTGGAGCCAGAGAAATTTGCCTAGTACTACCCGTAGAGGGACGACACTTGTTCCTAATGGCCATAGCCCCTCCCCTGGCTACATGAGGCAGCACTGCCCAACCCTCCTCCAGTTCGTCTTACTGCCTGTGCCTGGAGTTGGAGCTCTGCGTAGTCTCAACCTCAGAACTGGTTCAGTTTTTTCTCTTGTGTATAGTTAGTAGTACCCTTAGGGTTAGCTAGAGTAGTGTAAGTTTAGTAGTTTGTTTCCCTCTGTGATGCCCTCACTGGGGTTTAAACGTGGTCCTTTGTGTGGGGAGTGATCCCCAACAGCAATCCCCACACGTGGTGCTTGCTCTGTCTCGGCAAGGCCCACGTCAAGGAGAGGTATGCGATGTGCAGATTGTTTAAGAAATGGACTCAAGTGGCTTGAGACCTTCACCTGAAGCGGCTGGCACCTGCTCAAACTGGCCATGTGGCCTGCTTCGGTGCCGAGAACCTCATCGGGTTGGAGATCATCCTTGGGTTCCAAGAGCACAGACGCTTCAGATTCCAGAGCGGGCGCCTCTCCGAAGAAACGGA